CTATTCGAGACCAATGAAAATTATCCAATAGTGAGTTTTTGAAATTTTTTTGTTAACTGCTTTCATCCCAGATTATTAATTAATTTAATTCTTTTTTTAGGATTTTTTTTATTATTACGAAGTGATCGTCATAAAAGAGAACAATATTCAATTAACTCAGAAGATCAAATCCGGAAAGAAACCTATGGAGAAAATAAATGAAAGTCACTGCGAAAAAATAAAAAAAAAAATGTATTTTTATTGATTACTTACAAAAAGAACCCTAAAAGGAAACTAAAAAATCACGCTGGCCCGAAGCGTTAATAAAAAAAAATAATCAAGTCCATTCTAAAAATGATCCAATCACCTGAAGTTTACCATAATCAAAAAAAAAACGAAGAGCTTGTTTGCTTATCTATCATTTAAATTGATGCTATGATCCAAAGCGATATAAAAGACAAAAGTAAAAAGTGGAAAAAATAAAATAGAAAAAATCTAAATTCTTTTCTATATCATCTCCCTCAATTGATCTGATTGGCTAAAAAAAATAAGCGCAAAACTGGAGCTACAAAAATCGTTTTTTTAATAGAGTTGCGCTGATTTGATTGGACAAAATTTATTATTGATGGAGTATAAAAAGAGATTGCTCACGCATACTCTTTCACTTCCATTCCATTTTAGTAGGTGTATCAGAATTAATAAAAGTAGGACCAGCTTCAGATTCGAAAGGTGATCGATTTTCTTGATCATAGGCTTCATGGCGAATAATGAGTGCAGGTCGTGAAGTTATCTATAAAAAAATCACCTTTGAGGTTATTATCTTTCTTATATAATTATAAAAGAATAATTATCTTGCTATTTCATTTAAAGGATCGGTATATGTCTGTATATCTTGCCACTTCATTTAAAGGAACCGTAAAAAGTTGTGTAGCAGGATATTGTTGTTGCAATGATACTTTATTTGTTAAGTTGGAAAAGGATAGATGTGAGTAGTTGTGGTTAAGGTTCTAGAAACTGTTTTAGATTTTGTTTTTTATTTATATTGACCATAAATCATGAACGTCATCTCAATCACTAGCCAATCATCTGAGAACGGCCTCTCCAAATTCTATCAAGTATAAATCATTAAATTTTTTAATCAGATTTTATTAAAAAGTAAATACTATTAAATTATTGAATCAAGTTATAAATTATATGATTTACTATGGACGTTCTCAAGCACCTCTTGATGCTCAAACCTTTACGATCAATATAAATATAATAGAGATCAATGCCTCTCAATTTTATTATGTCTCAATAAAAAAATATCAAACTAGCTTGCTGAACTTTAGTTCAAGCTTTACAATTTAACAAGTAATTTATCGTTACATCAACAAGAACCATATGCTGTTACACAACCTCTTACTAACCTTTAAATGAAACATCAGCAAGTTATAAAGAATCACCAGTAAAAAATTATTGTAACTTATATAAAATTAAAAAAATTTTTATATAAACATTCTCACAACTGTAAGAGATAAAAGTGATATTTTTTTTTGCATATGAACATTCTGGCGTCTTTAATTTCTATAAGGTTTCTAATAAAAAAGTAGTTAATTTTCTGAACCGTTGGGTCGACCTGGGTTATTGCCCCGGGTTAACCCGTCGGGTCGGGTAATAATTCCGGATAATCGTATGAATTTAATTTGTACTACACAAGAAATTTTAAATTTGACATAAATATGCTAAAACTCATCGAAAAGCTGCAGCGGCAAAAAATTAATGCTTAAAGTATATACAATTCGTGCATGTATGTGTTAAAATCAAGGTTTTGAGTTATATTGGAATTATTTTCGATGCATTAACGAGCATTGAAAAATGAATTTATACTACATATACAATAAAATATTTATAAAAAAAAACACCCGGTAGAATATTCATATTGAAATTCGTTTCTCGGCATCTCTGCATTAACATTATCCGTAAAACTCGGGTTGTCCCGAGGTTAACTATATTCGAGTCGAGTCGGGTTCGGGTTATGTAAATGCTGACCCGAATATTTTCAACAGTACATGTACTCTCGACCCGACCACTGCACTAGTAAATAAATTTATTTTAAAATATTTTTCATATAAACTCTGATCGAAAAAAATTAGTAATGTAATGTTATAATACTTAAGTATCTGCGGCAAATTTCATTCTTATAAATAGACTTCATAATAAATGAAAAAGTACCTTCGATTGAATTAATATTACAGTAATTTCTTTAACAAAAAATTTTTTATTAATTAATTAATAGTGAGGCTATTCGATTAGGTTCTTTTCGGTACCTATTATTTATATGTGATATGTCTAAATAAATTGAAGCGCAAACAGAATTCGGATGAAAATGATTCTAGATGGAATAACTTCGTTACTATAAATTAATTAAGATGCGAGCACCAACATGTATAGGTTTCTACAAAATTTTAGGCTAATTCTAAGATGATCTTTTAGTTCTTAAATAAGCATAGCTGCTTTACGATACCTTGATAACCAATATCAGTGAATTTTACTATTGTACCTATTGTACACAATTTGCCTTAATGATTCCATATTTTAAAAAAATTATCTTTTAGCAAAAAAAAACATGAATACAGAGAATAATAGACTTATCTAGATAAATAATCAGTAATTGTTTATCTTCCAAAAAAACCTGCAACTGTGTAAGATGTGATACCTGTAACTTGTATTGGAACCGATGAATTTAAAAAAAAAACAGTAAAGGACGATAAACGTTCTTATTTTAATCTGAAAAATTAATTAACTCAATCTCTGATTTTGTTAGAATACAATTGATTTGAAATATTTTCTTTTTTGACTTTGTTTTTCAACATACTACAATATAAACAAATACAATGTGTGCTGCAGCTGGTTGTACCAAGTTGTGTAATTTTTTTTATTCATAAAGAATGTTTTAATTCCGATTTGTTTGGATCTGCAAACCAGATTTTATTATTATTCCTTCGGTGCCACTATAGTGCTATTTCTACAGTATTTCAGATTTTTCACGTTTTACAATTTTGGTTTTTATTATCAAGCTAAGCTAAGCTGCCTCAGATGCCTTTCTTAATTGTAAATCAGTTATTGTTACGTATTTAATTCTTTTCAGCTAGACGAAAATTGCTTAGTCGTTCAATAAACTTAATTCTTGATAATTAAAGTTACGGTCAATAAATTATAGATAGTCGATAAGTTTTATGTTGTTTTAATATGAATAGTACATTTTCGCGTTATTTTACAGTTAGTTACTACATTAATACTAACGTTAATAAATAATTTACAACCGTAAAAATATTATTTTTTTTTCAATGTGGATGAACAATGTGAGCGAAAATGAAAAAAATAATGCAGGCGTAGAATCGATTCAAGATATTAATATAATTATATTAATTTATCGTAAAATTGCATAATATTTTATTTTATTTTTAACTAAAAAAATAAATCCCTGCATATATATATTTGGTTGATTAGTCTAGTGATTTTAGTGATTTTAACCGACCCTAAATTAATGTGAACAATTTAGAAATTACGAGTTATAGAATAGTCTAAATCTTTAATAAGTAACTTTTGGTAAAAATTATTGTTTTATAAACAATGTCAGGGTAAAAAAAATGCTACTTAAATCTTAACTTATAAATAAAATACCTATAACATGTTAAAGCTGCTAAAGCTGCTTGTATTCTTAAAGATTTTTTACACATTTAATACAAAATGGGCTTTAATTTGTTAAATGCTTTGTTACTAAAACCAAACCCTATAAAAAAACTTTTGCCTAAATATTTCTATTATTTATGTGAAAATGAGCCTTTCACGGAAAAAAATGAAATAAAACACGTGTTTTTATAGGGTAATTACTTTATTAAGCCTTTGTTAAAAATTTTTTAAAGGCAATAAAAAAGTTTGAAAATTTTATTAGATAACATCGAACGTGAAATAATAAATCTATCGAAATTGCACATCTTTAATAATTGAAATTTTTCAACTAGAAAAAACATTCTTCACGATCTTAACAAAAGATTAAAATCAAGTAAGCTTTTTTTTTTAATTTATAGTTTAAAGAAGTTATACAAATATCATAATTATTATTTCAATTTCTGTCCATTTAAGTCAAATATTCTTTCTAATTTTTTAATTATATTTCTAAATTATTTATTAATAACTTTATTTTCTTTTTTCTTGAAATTAAGTCTGTCTCTTTTAAAATGATCACAAATTTTGTTTATTTTATTATTGTAATTAAATATTTTTTTTTTTTTGCTTACAAAAGAAACATTATTTCAAAATTTTATCCATTTTTAGATTTTAATAGGCATAAAAAAAAAAAAAAAAAAAAAAAAGTTTAATTTAATAAATTTAACCAATATTAATCTTCGGTTTTGTTAAAGGGATGTGATACATACCAGCGTTTTAAAAATAAATGAAGTTGATTTATTGAATAGTCCACAGGAGCAAAACTCCTACTCCTAAGGCAAAAGATCAAAAGTGTGTATCAGATGTCTCTAAGTTCATTGAAATTACATTTAAACTTGTAATCAATGTAGAGACATACGTTTTAATACACGTAAAAAATAAATAAAATAAAATATAAATGATAAATTAGAAGGTGAAGAAGATGTATAGCAACCCATGTCTTTCTGAAGAGAGTCTAGAGTATAATAAAGCTTGTAAAAATATAAATAAGAAAGTCTAAATTATTTTATCGAAAAAACCTTCGATTCTGCAAGTAAAAGAATAAAGCATTTATTAGATCGAATAAAAAATTACGAAATATTTTGTTTCCGGATGAAGAGGGAGAAAATTATATGCGAAAGAGTAAAAGAGAAAGAAAAAGAAAACGAAAATTATTGAAAATTATAAATCACCGAAAAATTAACCGATTACTATACGAATCTTGATACAACTCTAATTGTAACCCCCGGTGTTACCTGTGTTTAAAATGAATGATCAGAAACAGGGTTGCAAAGCTGAATATGCGTAGTATCCAACGACCCACCGCCACCATGGAATGGCTAAGTGGGAATAATATACTTGAGGGAAATAATGTAAATTCGACGAATGTAATATACTGTAATTATATAATTATGCAGTTATTTAATTTCATAGATCGAAAATAAATAGTAAATCGGTGATTTTGATTTTGATTTTACGCAGTATTAATTAAATTGATTAAATGAAATGTGTCTTTGATTTCATATAATAAGTAAAAAAAAACAACCGTGCCAATTACCATTTAATTGATTGAAGATAAGAATGACTTAAGAGTCGGGTCGGGTCCCATTGATCTGATTCGAATTTTAATTAATTTAGTCGGGTACCTGTCAAGTTATTAAAATCGATGATCAGAACTGATTAACAATAGAATATAATTAAAATGTAATGGCAAGCGCCAAGAAATTACATCTTACATGGTTTTTCATTTATCAAACGCCAACGCAACCTTTTTATGATGCATTTCTTATTTTGTATTAGTATTATTAAATTGTCATTGTGATAATTTTTTTAAATCTTGTTGATGCATTTTTCTTGGCGTTTGGCGTTTGATAATCGAACATCTGTCTAGATTTAATTTTCATATATAATCACCTTATTTTTGTTCAATAAAATTTAATTACTTTTTAAAATGGCTCATAAATTTAAAATTAACCGTAAGAAAAAATATATATAAATTTTTAAAACATTTACAAATAAATAAATAAATTTATTTTATTTAGAGAAAGTTCAATACCGAACAGATCCTCAAAATAACGACCAAACTACAAGACATGGAGTAATTAAAGAACATAAACCAAATTTAAAGTATATTGTCGAAACCGAAGGAAAAGAAAGAGGTATGTATATATTATTGCAATTTAACTCATTATTGTAATTAAATTTGCTTATTTTACAAAACTATTATCTAGAAATTAATCAAGATCAAATTACTTGGCCCTCTCCGCCCGCATAATTTTAATTTTTATTTATTTATATTTTTTTTTTATTTTATTTTTATAAATATTTTTATTAAATGAATAAATAAATTTTTTACAAGAAATTATGTATTGACAAAATTATATAAAAAGTGATAAAATTATAAACTTTATAAATACTATTATACGATTTGTACGAAAAATAGTTTAATTTTAATACAAAATCGAATTATCTGATTATTCATCTTATCATCAAAACAAATCTTCGTCATATGTCAACAAGTTCACTATTTATCGTTAATAATCAATTACATTTTTGAAAAGTCATCGGTAAATTATCGTAAATCTATTAGTAAATGAAAAGTCTAATTAAATTACACAAGACATTAACAATTTTTTTTTAAAAAAAAGAATCCCTCGACTTCACATGCACTATTGTACAAAATTTAAGCAAAACAGACTCTGTTTATGACAAAAATCGACGGGCAGATCATTTCTTGATTTAATATTGAACAAAAAAACAGGATTTTTCCATAAAGAGTATGTTTATTTAGGCTGAATTTCAAAATGTTTCACAAGTAAGCCTCTAAAATCTTGAAAAAATTAATACCAAAAAAAAAACGGAGTTGCTGCTTTTAAACGAGGAGAATTCATCAGTGCTTGGAAATGTAACATAACCGAAAGAAAAGTTGTTGAGAGTTTTAACAATTCAAAAAAACCCCGTTCATAATGTTATCTTGCTTAAAAATTTTGATTTTGAAATAATGCTTACTCGGACCATCATGAAAGGTTGAGATGATTGTTATTTAGAAAGGGAAAAACTGATTATTAGTTTTCGGAATAGTATACGAAAATGACATTGATGGAATGGGATCAGATTTTAAAACAGTTTCGTTATAAATTTTAAATTTTTAAATGGGTAGGTAGTCTGTTGGTCATTTTTTTACATTTTTCATTTTAATTTTATATCAAGCAAAGTTCACCCTCCAACATGGTAAAGCATTAAAGTACAGATGACACTTTTAATAGTCAAAAATAGTGCTCCGAGCCGGTCGAATCGACCCGGGTCATTTGACCCGACTCGAGAATAAATTCGAGTCGGGACTATCATTTTATGTCACGAGTCCTAATTTCTTAAAACCCGTCGGGTTAGGGTCTCGATTTTG